CTCTTCTTTTATCCTGTTCCAAGCCACCAGTTCATCCTTCTCCACGAGGTTGTTTACCGCTTTTACTAATTTCTGTTGAGAGTGTAGAAATGTTTTTTTATTTTTCTCATTGCATGTAGTAACCTATGAGGGATATTCCTCTACTTGCTGACTTGTAGGACAGGGCATCTTTCTTCAAAAACCTGCCTACACACATCAGAGTATTTTGGTTTAATAAATACAGAGAGAGCTAATAATCCTTTGGCATCAAGATATTATATACTGACACAATATATAAACAAAGTAAACAAAGATTACTGAAAGAGTTGAGTTGATGACAGAGGGATTGAGAGCGTAATCCTTTTCTCCAGCTGCCAGGGTGGATGCAGAGCGACACAAGGCCTCCACATATGCGATCACTTCCACGGAGGTGAGTTCACCGGATGTCTGTTTGCCAATTTCCTCCAGTAGACTCTGGGGGTCCGTGAAGTTACTTATCTAGGAAAGATAATGCTAACATGGGAAGGGTGCAACCTAACCAGAGATATTTTCATTTTCTTTCTTCTCCAGTAGGTGCACAGTGGCACACACAGTCACACTCTCTAAAAAGAAACAACTCACATGCATTGCCTTCCTATGGATCAAAGTTACAACAACTATCAACTTTCTTTGCCCGGAGATGGTAGAAATCAAAATGTCAGTTGTTGTTACTTTTCTTGCCTGTAGGTGGCACAAATGTTCTGCAGGGGGTAGTTGGGTGATAGTGCCTGGTGCTGTGTGTCCTTGCTACTTTACAATATACAGTAGTTTCTGCCTATTTCATTTCATGTTCACTTTCTTTCTCTCCAACAGAGGGCAGTGTCATCATATCTATTTTTGCCTTATGTGGAAGAGGGTCACTTACATATTCAAGTGTTTTGTTGACAGCCTGTGTGATGCATCCACTGTTGTCATGGCAGAATTTTTGAGGATCCTCTGAAAAACAACAGTTACCAAAAGTATCTCTTTGAGTTTACTTCCATGATTTCGGCAGGATAAAGGATGTTACTTTGAAGTATATATTCTCTAAAAGCTGCAAAGGCATATCATCACATCTCTCTCTTTTTATCAGTGGTGTTTAAACCATCAGAAAATTTAAGATTGCACTGTGTATTTGATGTATTGCATAATAAATTCTGTCAAAAAGTTAAAAAATGTCCGGTTCTGTGAGCATGTGGGAGAGAGGAAGTTAAAAAAAAAAACAGATGAAGAAATATGTAAGTCCTTGGATGTAAGCACCAGTGAGTGTGTGTGTGTGTGTGTGTGTATGTGCACTCTTCCATCCTCATACTGACCTTTACAACTTACACCTTTCCCTGGATTAAAGCGCTTACTGCCTGAAGTTGGGCTTGGGATGTAATCACGCTGACAGGTGCAATAGAAAGATCCATTTGTAATATGGCAGAGTGAGTTTGTTCCACAGAGTCGTCCTGGCCTGCATTCATCAATACCTGAAAGATGCATACAAAGGGTTCAGCTCCAATTAACAATACACACAATTTACAGTAACTGATACTCTCAACATCACTAATGGTAAAATAAATGACCATTGAGTTTATGGATATAGTTTTCGTTTGATAACTTATATTCTTCATTAAAATTCTTCTGCATTTCTCAAAAATACTGAAAGATTAAGTGATGTTAATGATTTTCTTACAAACACGGACAGAAGACATCCTAATCCTTACTATTAATACAGTATACTTTATAACTATTTTTGGAATTTAAACTGCAATTCTTGCATGCATTTTACACACGTGGATATTCATAAGTCAGCTCCTAAAATCATTTACATGGCATCAGCCAAACATTTGGACCACTGCAGGGATACTTCATGGTACAGTTATAGCTCTTCTAGCGCAAATGGAGCGAAACATCTGAGATAACAGATGGGAAGGAAATAAAAGGTCGAGGTAAAAATCACCTCCAACATATTTATCCTCCTCAGTACAGTGAAAGAGAAAGCAGTGCACACACATGCAGTCCTCATGGCCTCGCAGTTCTGTGGTCACTGCTTTCACACACACTCATACATTATCTATATGTGTCAGTACAGTTTCTATAGTATTATTAATGTGACCAAAACAGAGCTAGAATACTTGACTGAGTGAATCAGACGTTACCAGCACAATTGGTGCCGTCGTTGGGCTGGAACTTGATGTTTCCCGTTGACATGAATCCAGAGACACATGTGCAGTAGTAGCTGCCCATTGTGTTGGTACAGGTGCCCCCTTCCCCACAGATGCCAGTGACATTCTGGCATTCATCGTCATCTGGAGGAGGATAGAAAGTAAACTGGGCTATTTGCTAAAAACAAGAAACATTTTGCTTCTTTAAAAAAAAGTCAACAACAATTCATTAAAATGTTTTTAGATTTACAAATCATAATTAACTGATATGACCAATTTCAAGACCCTTAATTAAAAAAAAAAAAAAACCTAAACAGACATTTCTCTCTGTGATGAATTGTAAGAATTTCTTTTTCAACGGTCATATTTTTGCTTAATTTCCTACATTTACCAACATACTCCAATAAAATGCCAGAACTTGCATCAAGCAGCTTTTCTCTATGTTTTTGGCAGATAGATAAACTGTACTAAAATGATGATGAAACAAACTGTTAATGTACATTTGTCGGAAGTGTATCTTTCCTTGCACACAAAGCTGCAGGCCTTATGACTGACTATATTATTCTGGTCTGGAGTTCTGCACCTCTTTGACAATGAGTTTCTTCCTTTTTCACTGTTGAACACTATGCAACATGGATGGATTTGCAGACATTTTGACATAAAAAAAAACATGTTAATCCTTTATCTTTGACTCAAAGCAGTGCAATACTCTATGCCTGTTTGAGTAACAGGATAATGTAGCAAAACACCAAAATTACCATGAAATGCATAGCACATGATGGTAGCATTTCTAACATCTGTTAACATCTGTCATGTTCACACAAATATTGACTTAAACTGTCCTCTGCAAGTAGTTTGTCTTTTTTTTTTGTAAGAATACCTCCATCTGATCCTTTTCCTTTGTCCTGGTGTTGATTGAACTTGAAGCTCAGTTATGCTCTAGTCTTGATTAAAGCCCTGGCAGGCTCTTTCTTATTTCCAATTTTTATTGTTCAATTTTGTGATTGCCAAGCAGCTGTTTGCCTCTGTTTCATTTCAAGAAACTCAAATTACTTCAAATATTGTTGAATTTGTTGCCCAGGTTTACAAAGTACCAGATACAGAGGGGTTTGCTGTGGGTGGTGCTCTGGTCCACTCATTATAGAAAAAGCTGTTCCAGCTTTGTTTTTCAAACACATCTTCCCTCCCTGGTCTCCAGGTTTATTGGAATAACCTGGTAAGACTTTGCTCTGTTGTTTTCACTTGTCGAGGCATGACGAACGCTTTGCTCTTCCTGTCCTCTGTACCTTTTGCACAAAAGCTGTCTGCGGTAAAGGAAATCCTCTCCTCTGGTGAGGGAGGTAGCTACAGTATATTCAAAGGGGAAATATCTCCACAACACGCAGGACCCTTGAACTGTCATTGTTGCGCAAACATTTCAGCCACATATTTTAGGATTCACTTTGACAGTGTTTTATAATCAGGTACAGGAGATACTGCACTGACTTTTGTCACATTGTTGAAAAATTACAATCATATTAAAAATGTTACAGTATATGGATCAGCTTCTTAAAACTATGAATAACATTTACATATACTCTAAATATTTTGTTAATGAGTAACTTTTCCAGGCAGTCAAATCTTACACTAACTGATTAATGACTGTTGACCTGCTTCAGAAACAAATTTATGAAAATACAATAAATACTCACTTTAATTGTTGCATTAAATTGACTTGGTTTTAAACTTCACCAAGTGGACATAATCATTTTTAACTGTGATACTAGAAGGAGCTCAATGACTTCTAAACTTAATTGACCTTTTTGTTTTAAAATAACTTGAAACTGTGTTTCTGCTTTGCTTTTGGCTCTTGGAATTTGGGAGCTGTACTGCGATTGTGATGGGGCTTGGTCAGGAAACAAAAGGGGTTCCAGGAATTCTAAACATAAACGTAGCAGGAGTAACAATGCTGACTGAAAGGCATGCTAGTAATGATGTTACTAATAAAGTAGTATTATGGAGCTACTTCTTCACATTGTGTTGTTTCCTCTGTTGCCATCTCTCAGTGAGAGGCGATGGCAACAAGGTGACAGGCTATGTTTTAAATCGCTGCAAGGCAAACCAGCTGTGTCCCAGAAAGGAAATGGTAGACAAGAAGACATGGAGTTGTTTTACCTAAACTCATCCACAGTCACAAACAACAAATGCTTTCTAAAATGGCCAAGGCTGGTACTGTTGCATCATTGTAAATATGTGAGTCCATATTCACCATTGCAAAATGTTGTTCCATCTCCAGTATATCCCTGGTTACAGAAGCAGGCATTTGATCCATTCAGCGGCTTGCACGTTGCATGTTGATGACAAGAATCACAAATGTCAGAAAGGCTGCATGGGTCCATCAGAGTGGAGAGCCATGCTGCGCAAACACAAGCACAAGACACAAGGGTGTGTAAGTTTAACATAAACCATGACAATCAGATTGCAGATCTTTTTGTGATGCCACTGCTGCTTTTTCTTTTAAGCATCTTCATCTCTGGCTGAGCTAACCTGCTACTTATGTAACACATCAGAGCAGTGTTACTTTCATAACCCACAAGTTTCGAATACAGCTTTGTGTTTCAGTCACAGAAATTATGTAAATAAAAAAAATCACAACATAAAAAATTATAATTTGAAAATGATTTTGAAATATTATATCAAGCTCAACTGTGGCCGTGTCACATCACCCAAACCCGAAATAGTTAATATGAAGATTCCATAAATACAAATACATTAGCAACCATGTCCATATGAAACACTTGCCATGCTGTAATGTAGAAAAGCTCACATACCTGTCAAAAGCATAAGTTTCATCGGTGACTTGAGCAAAGACTCCATACTTGCGCTAGGTCTGGATTTTACTTTTAGCACAGACTGCAGTGGGCTGGCTGGTGACGTAGTCCGTTTCCTTGCATCAGTTTTCCTGTTTCCCTAAACCTGGCCCTTCCTGTCCTGGTCTTTAATCTGCTTTTAAAAACAAGAAGCCTGGTCCCTTCACTGACCGCTCTAACACACAGCACCCAACACACCTTTTTTATTTGCCTCCACTATACATCAAATATAAAAGGAGTTTTATTAGCAGCGCAGTTTTTCACCCATCTTATATAGTGTTGTTGATGCTATGACATACATCGCCATTTTGGAAGCCTCCATGCCATTGTTTTCACTTGAACACATACTGTAGGCTGTGTAAACACAGGCCAAAACAACTCTGACTAACTTCGCCCATGGACCCCCTCCCTTCTGCAAAGGACTGTACAGGAATTCACGCACACATTCCAGTGCTACTTGTCTTCAAGTGACCATCTCAGTGTTCTTCAGACAGAGATCAAAAATACCTGTAATTTTTCCCAGCTGCTGAATCAAACTGTAGACACAAGCATTCAAATTTCACTTCACTGAACAATGTAATACAGATTGAAAAATTTTGCCTTTTCCTAAGTTTCCTTTAAGCACTCTGATATTTTGAAGATACCATGTGCCATTTATAAAGTTGTTGAAATATCATGCAGCTTGCTATTGTTCGCATTTCTATGCACATTGCCTTAAAAAGAGTATTTCTATCAGCATGATGAAAGTAATAACATCACCGCAAAAAGACTGCTATACAAACACAAATGTAAGTCCTTTTGTGCTGCAGCTAGTGTGGCTCTGAAGATAAGTGAAGACAACACAACTTATTGTTGGCATTTTGACACCCCTCACAGACTAATGACCCCATTCTCTGTGAAGGAAATGAACAGGGCTGGGTGTTATTCAGTTGTTGTCAGTGAGCTACTGACCCACACAAGACAAAGTAGTGAGAGGCCGCTTACCTAATGGCACTTGTTGGTTTCTCATCTTTACTAAAAGCCTGCCACTGCCACTCATTTCAAGTGCAGATTTTTACAACTTTGCTTTTAACTGGCAGTTAAAAGCAGTTAGGAAACAGGTGAATTCAAATGTGAAACACTGACAATAGTCCAAAAGGAGAAGTAGCCATTCAGGTGTAACTGAGGCCTTTTCAAAGTGCCTTCTACTTTTTGGCACTCCGACACATTCATTGATGAATAGTTTCACTTGAAAGATAAGTTCTTTGTTGACTGTATTGCAATCTGTGGAGGCGGTTTGAATTGCTTAGGCAAGGCGTTCAGTTTATTGCTGAGAAAGGCAGCTGTTTGAATGACACCATTAGAATTGCTCTGCATTACTGTCCTGGGAAAGTGCTCGGTGAAAACCACATATGAATGTCTCGCTCTGACACTCTCCTAACGGTAAGGAAGGAAATGATGTTGTCTAGAACAAACCTGGACTGATTGCACCCTTCCTCCTCCGCTTTTTTGTCTCAGGAAATCTCTCATTTAGGGAGAAATTTGTAAAGATCTCCCAGGAGCTTGCTTGCTCCACAATGATATTGTAAAAAAAGACACCTAAAAGAAAAGAGCTCTTCAACTGTCTGGAGGCAGTCTTGTGTAAATGTTTCCTCTTTTCCTTTCCTCTCTCATGGATATGGAAATTTTGACTCTGCACTAGCAGAATTTTGCGTGCATTTGTGTGTGTGTGTGTGCGCGTGAGCAAATGAAGAGTGCTGTTTATGCTATTCAGGCGATGTTTAGATTTGCAATACAGAGTACACTGGAGAATCTATTTTGACACTTCTCACACATATCTGTTCTAATGTTGGGCTTATGTTCAGCCATGATGGGAGGACTGAACGCTAGGGCACAGATGGCAGCAACTGTCTCATAAACTGTCTTATAAAGCCCTTGAATATTTATGTACACAACACTGAGAGACACTTTCTGCTCGGGTTTAGAGATGCCAGCTGTTGTATGTCTGGAGAGCCCTGTAACACTGACATTACACTCAGTATAGGTGGTGCTACTTAAACAGGAGGGCCCGCACTTCATTCAGAGGGAATACCTGTCCGAAAAGTGAAATAGCACATGTTGGACATTTCATGAATCGCCAGGAGAAATTTCAAATTTGGTTGAAAATAATGATTATGTCATTTTTGTTTGGCAGCATTTGACCAGGTGAATGATAAGAGGGTCAACGATATCCTCCAACACAGCTAACAAATTGCCACACCTTTAGAAGTCTTTTACAAGCTGACCAGTAAAAGAAACATTAAAATCCATTTTGTCAGCTTATTTTTTCAAACTGTACTTTTGCAGGCCAAAGACTCACTCCTACATGCATATAAAAGCTTATGTTATGTAACTGGATGGCACACACAATACCGCCTCAGAAAGCATATGAATGGCACACAATGCAGCTAACACTAGAGTTGAACAAACTGTGTGATTGGTAAGAAAGGGTGTGTTTAGCAAAGCTGCAATTAAAGTGAAAAAAGTAAAACCGGCTGAACAACTGAAAATACACATATACCTTGTGGCGTAAAAAGAATATACTGCCAGGACTCAAGGAAATAGAGGAAAGTCCAAGTTAACCTCTTATTTTAAAACACAGGTACCCCCAAAGTGCTAGCATTAAAAAACCTTGTGAGTCAGTAAGCCGTCTGATTGTTAGAGAATTTTCTGAAAAAAACAGAATTTGGTTTGAAAAAAAGGTGAGATTACAACTTTCAAACCATTTTCAGACTTTGATTGTTATTTCCTAGCTAATTAATCACAAATGTACTCCAATGAAAAGAGTATGAGATTAAATTGCATATTGACCTAAAACACTTATTGGCAAAATTATTATTATTGTTTTTTTAATGATTCATCAGTCTACTATTTAGATATTTATAACAGCATATGTGCTTACTGTATATGCAGCAGCATTTGCGGTAAAGCTCAGTCACACAAGCATTTAAATTGTGACATTTTGTGACAAAACACTTTCATTTTAATTGCTGGGATCATGTGAATCTTCAATGTGACGACTGGTAATGGGAACAGCTGAAAGTGACAAATGAACTTTCAGACATGAGGTCAAATTCGGTGAGCTTTGACTTCATATTTGTGGCATTAACCAATAGCAAATCATGTTCTCGGCACTGGTGCTGACCATGCAGGTAACAGCAGAGTCTACAGTGGAAGCTATCAAAGCTTCTTACCTTGTTATTTAACCCTTTAGATGCTTGGATGAAGTTTACTTTGCTACTTACTTATGTGACTTGACAGAGTGAACCCAAATCTTCTTCTGGTGAATTTGTGCATATATTTGCACATACATATTTGTAGATGTATGCTGATGTGATGTTTTGATGTCTTGTTGCTAAAGTGTGTGGAACTGTTGTCCCATGACAATTGCACACCTGTTCATGATTAGCTCTATATGGGTTTGCCTTAGGCCTTTGCTCTGTTTGACTCTGATGAAGACACTGTTTAGTTGAAGTGCTAGTTTAATTTGTTTGCATCATTAAAAGCAGAAAACTAATCAGTTACTAAAAAGAGACATGGGTTGTTTGTAGCCCTAATGTTTTTTAGGTTGGCAAGTTTAAACTTGGTGTCTACAGCTGGACTCAGTCCCAGACCCCAACACAGCCCAGTAACCTTTGATGGCTTGATTGTTTTGCTGCTACAGAGGAAGTAAGAAGTGGAAAGAAAAAGTGACTGGACAAAGCTCTTTACAAGCGACCCACATCATGCTAGAAAATGGTAAGACTAAAACACTCTTTATCAGTCAGAAACATTTTCTGTGGTGACCGACAGTAGTGTGTGAGTAACTTATGTGACTAAAGAGGCAATAAATGTGGTTACTTAGCTAAAATTCACTGATCAATGCCAGTTCTCTTTGTGGTGATAAAATGGGATTTGAAGGATAGTGAGCTAGTTAGTCACATTTACTGTTTCTCGGTTTAAAGACATAACTACTTAAAGCTCTAGAGAAGCTCAGAGTCCACTTAACATGATTCACTTGAGGGCTCCCGCTGTCTTTCTCTGCCATACATGGGGCAGCAGCACAGCATTTAACCACTAATCAAATACTTAACTACAGTAGGTATTTATTGAGACTAATGCAGATAAATTTGAAATGTGTTTGGTGTATGTGTGGAACTGAGTTGAATCAAGTATGTAGTGTAAGAGGAGGAAAGGGAACCTAAGGAATTGTGTTGATTGTACCAAAGCTGGTAGCCTGTGGGTCTGAGGGACTGTTGGAGGGTAAAGGCAAGTAAAAAAATTTGGCTAAAACGCACATAAAATATATAGATGTGGTGATGTCACAGGTAGGAGTGTGTGAGACAGCAATAGAGAAACAGATAATGTGTGTGACAGAGGGAGAGGAAGAGTACTAATCTCTGTTCTTGTAGGTTCAATGTGTTCATGATTTGAGAGCATTGTTCCTAATGAGTTTCATGCAACCAATTTAACACTGGTTACCAAACCTTGTTAAATGTCTTCCTGCCTGTAAGAATACTAGTGCTGCATTCACTTCACATAAATCTGAGTTGGAGATAAAGGGGGTTTCTGGTGACGGTGATAACTCACACTCCCACATGTCAGCAAGCATGACCTCAAATGCACCGCTGCTGATAGATAGCCTTTGTTGTCTTTGTACAGAATACAATGAAATTATACAGCAACTGCCAATACAAAATAAAATAGTAATAAAATAAAACGGACTGTCAGCAAGTACAAAAATTTCAAAAACTACCTTAAAGCCATCACAATAAATGGCATAATAATCTCTAAAAGTGCCATCAGTAACTCTAAGTAAAAGTGCAGTGCATCCACACCTCTAATAAAATACCAGTTAAATCAAAAATAAAATCCAGTATCAGCACTAACTCAGTCGATTCAGTAAATGTTATAGAAGCTATACACTGTTTGTTTGTGGTTTCACTTCTATAATGTGTAGCACAACAAAGAATTCTGTGTGACTACATGGTTAACATTAGGAATAACCCTGTTCTTTCTACTCTGCCAACATCGCATAAATGCAGTAAAAAAAACAAAAAAAAAAAACAAATTTGCTAAAAGTACTGGAACTATGGCTGTGTCCCAAATGTAGTACATAACATTTGCTTCTGCCATTTTGTTTGAGTGTGCAAACGTCTGTGAGAATTCTGTGTGTGACATCTCTGTCCTATGTAATCCAAGGCAAACAGGAAGTCCAGAAGTTGTAATGATAAGGTGTGTTTGACCGTAAAGGTTGTCTTCACCACCCACATGCTTCACTGTTCCCATAACTTTAGAGATGTAGGAGGAAAAACGGGTCGGCTCTGGGTTCCTGGTGGTCAGGAGCCAGGTTAGGGTTTGCTTCCTCCTGCATCCGGACAATAGAAACATATCAGCAAACAGCATTTTCCTTCTCAGCAGGGTGATGTGCCACATGTGTTGTTGTAGTGTGAAGGGCCTGATTGTCATGTAGCACGATTTAAATACAAGGTGTAATGTTTTACAAATAGTTTTCTGACATTGCTGAACTTTTCCTACAAGTTGAATCACAGTTTTAAACGTTGCTGTAAATGTAGTTTACAGAAATTTGACTACGCTTAAAATGAAGTAAAATGTCTAAGTTTGACCTTTTTTCTATATCTTGCGACCTAGGATGTAGTGGGCCAATACAATGCAGCACTTACAGTAATATAATAACAGATTTGAAAAATGTTTGCAGTAATGTACAGTATATTGGATTTTAAAGAATTGATTTGCTTGTACAGTATGCTGCATTCAAGCAAGTTAAGTTTAGGAGATGTAAGGTTTTCAAGGCCACCTATTCCCATTTGTTAAACAGGAGTGCCAAAGGTGAAAGTGAAGCTACTAGTTGCTAAACTGTTTCTAGAGTCAGTGTGGATGTCTCTAAAAATATCTGATTCATTTCAATAACACACTTGAAACTGTTTGTAAAAGTAATTGGATTTTGCCAGGACAAAGTTCCTGTGTCTGATTATGAGTGAAATGGGGCCAGTTTTAGTCTCTACAGTAGTTTGGACATATGTTTGGTGCAACTGACAAACAAAAGGCGAATATGAAAAGATGCTTCATTTCACTTAACTGAGAGGAAAACTGCAGTTCATTTATATAAATAAATTAAAAATAAAGAAAGGAAGAAAAACAAAAGAGGCCTCAGTATTATCTTTTTTTCTTGCCTTGCTTGTTGCACCTTAACTTGACTTGGTATAAATGGCATTGGATGGCTTTGCAAGTATAAAGTCATACTGAGAGCTTTTCTAAAAATTCAAAATCTTATAAACTGTTAGTCTTTATGTTTCACCATCTACCTTATCTATATACGGTACTCAGTGGCTGCTAAATATATTGTCTAATGATCTGCTACAGTTACGTGAGATGAAGTGCAAATTCACCAAAGTGTCTGTTCCCCATCCCCAACACTTGTTTACTTGAGGGAGTTGCAATAGATCCCCATAGTGTAATGTTACTGTAATGTCGCCTCGAGGTGAGGGAAACGTAATCAATGCCTGCTTTACTCTTCAAGGTTCAGCATCAATGTACACAGCTTCTTAAAGGGAACTCAGGAGGCTCAATAACCAACCGGCAGCCTGTTTGGAAGCTACTTTTCTATAGAGCTGTGAATTCTAATGTAGTTGTAGGAAAATGTTTAATAAGTTAACAGGGTCAAGGCGATGAATGCGGTGCTAAGCAGAACAAGCCATTCCACATTAAATTAACTAATCCTGATAAGTGCACATAGCGCTCTGCCAGAGGGACTAGTCTTTTTCCTTCTGACTGCAATTATGCTTAAATCTTATTACATATAGAATATGATATCAGTTACACAGTTATTCATTTTTATGCAGGCAAATTTAGTGCTTAGTCTTACTCAGTAGATTAGTAAAATAAATGACTGTATAGTCAATAAATGAGACATGCAGTAATGTCATAAAACGCAAAAGTCAACACAAAGCATTACAGAGCCTTCTGAATGTTGTGTGGCTTAAAAATGTAGGAGGTGGTAAATCTGCTGTAGCAAAAATATTTGAGTAGATATCGTGGTCTTGCCTTCCAATTTAAAGTGTGCCATTAAAAAAAAAAAGTTTAAAAATTCAGTAATTTATTTACCAATTGTCCTCACTGAATGAAAGCAGAGATTATTTTTTTTATTAACATTTAATAATAACAAATCTTAATAATACTATTTATTATGATTTACATAATATGTATGCTTTTTAAAGTTAAGATGCTGCATGCGTAAAGCAGACTGACACTGTTTTTCCTTTTCTTTTCCAAATAAATTATAGTTGTAAGAGTCTTCACACATGGATTTCCACACCAACACATCGTTTCTGTACAGTACATCTCTGTTATCTTAGTTAGCCTAACTGAGAACATCAAATCAATTTATATGAAAATATTGGGGATGACATACAAACTGTTTGCCTAACTGGTAAATTTGCAAATTCATACAATGTATGTCGTCATGTCATATGCATTTTATAAAAAAAAAGAAGCAATGTGTAATAAAATTTGAAACAAATTTTAATAAAACTGGCCCTGGACCTACCATATTCCTAGCGGTAGTCGCACTGAAAATAATGACAAAAATAATACCCCATAGCTGGCTGACATAAATCTGTTTAGTCAAATATAAAGGCAGTAAAAATGGTCAGTTATGGTTGATAATATTACAATATACCATTCAGTATGAGATGACTAGTATGAAATGTTACAGTTAAAACTGTTGTGCTCATCATGCTATTGACAGATACTGAAATATACTTTACTCAGGTGAAATCTATGTACAGCTGTACAAGATACATGAAATACACTTTGTTCTGTGTCATTTCTGCATCTGTACTTGAAATTGAAAAAGTAGCAATTTTCCCAAAGATCGGGGGCAATTTACAAATGAATTTCCTTCATGCTCAAATGCTTCATAACAGCCTTTGTCCTGACTCAGATTGAACACACTTGAATGATCCTATCCATATTCCCTATGTTTTCCATTTTCTCTAACACAGAAGTCTAAAATTTCCATGTTCTCAGGTGCAACAAGTGTTTCTGATTGGTCCTTTTCCTTCTGCCACCAACCTCTTGTTAGGCTACTGACTGGAACAAAATGACACTGGAAGGAGCTTATGTTCTTTCAAGGATAAAGCGGGATCCTATTGAGGTGACAAAGCTTTACACTGCAGTTTTTCACAACAGTACAAAATAAAGCGACCAGTCTGGCTTTTATAGTTTTTCAGCTGTATTCAAATAAAAATAATCACTGAATAACCACAGGAGGAAAACTGATCAATGCAACCCTATCAATTATGGTGGATACATTTAGTTCACTTTTGGCTATTCCACCTGTTAGATCCCAAACAAACAACCAGAAAATATTTTTAACATTCTCATTTCTTTGGATAAAGGCTCCTGAGAGCCTATGGTACTATCTTCAAATGGCTTCTTTTGTCCGACCAGCAATAAAACTGCAAAGGTACTCAGAATATATCAAACATTAAAACAAAACAGAAAAAGAGAGAGCACCGTTTCACACACTTAAGAAGCCGAAACCATTTTGTTTAGTAGTTTTACTTAATAAATGAAAACACTTATCGGTCACTATGTTTGCCAGTCAAATTTTTTTTGTCTATTAATTTCAACATTGTTTTTTTTTTTTTTAAATATACCTCCTCGTTTTAAGCATGTGATGTGCACATGTATCACGTTTCAGTTTTAACAGTGAATGAAATTATTTGGTATGTTAATATATATATGTTCATGTTATATATTTATTTGTGTGGAATTTATTGTGCACCCACAAACAGTTTCTCATATACAACCTCATACACCTGCCATTCACACTTACAGAATTACTACATGTTATGATGTTAAAAACTGCATTGATATGTCCTGGCATGATGTGTTCTAACCTTTGGTGCGATTGATTTATCCGAAGCTAAAGGTGAAGCCATTACTTTCTTCTATGAGATCCTTCTGTGAGGCCAATTCAGAATTTATAAAATTTCAAGGAGCTCTGATAATTTAATTTGGAGTGCCCTTTTATAGGTTAGGTCACCTGCAGCGTGCCCTGCAAATTGAATAAAGAACAGTAATAGAAAACAGGATGTCAGGTGGGCTCCCTGCTTATAAAATCGTTAACAACAGTGTGTCTTTTCTCATAAAGGAGCCCATTTATTCCAAGGAAGAAATGTTATGAAAGTGTAGGAAGCAACTCAATTTATTTTTCATTAGGAATTAACTCGGGAGAATCACTGAGAGGGTAAATAGCGGTATGTGTGCATCAGCAATGTGAGCTAATAAGTTTGAGAAAAGCCTGTTCAAAAGACGGCTGAACATGCTGGCTGTTTTTGTGAATAAAGCACTTTATATTCCTTTTTAAGTAAACTCACATCACCACATGTAGTGGTGGTGATACTGGATTATTTAGAGCATATACAGTACTTCATTTATGTTAATTGTTCACAGAGAAATATAACTTCATTCTAATTCTGAAATGATTGCTTCATATAACAGATTTCTTTCAGATGCTACTGTATGCTTTTAGTATATTACTCTTCATTGTAGGGAGGGAGGATGAGAGACAGAAACACACTGCTCCCATGCTGATGGCTTTGTCTGGGTCATATCCAAATAATGCAGCAGCTAGGTGAAATCCTCTCCGTCCCTAACAAACTGCCACCGAGCGCCTGGTGCTCTCAGCATGACTTGGGCCATGTACCGCAGGAGGTAGAAAACCCTGTCTAATCCCTTCAGTGCTTTGACAAATATCTATATTTTCTCACTGAGGAGATTCCAGATTACTGCTACAGTCCATGTATCTGTGGACAATGACTTATTATTGTACCCGCATGGTGGTTTTTCACAAGCCCAGCAATCTACTTTATGGCTCAAGCAGATTTTCTGTCACGGATCTTGGGATATAAAATACAGTACACTACCTGTCTAAAGCTTTAGCAAACCCCAGTTTCCCAGTTTTTATTTTAACATTTAAGCGGTTCAAGTCCAGTGAATAACCTTAAATGGTCCAAAGTTGAGAAGTAGACTAAAGTTAAAAAATAAAAGTCCCCAAAACCTGAAAATGTTTGGAAATGTCATAAAACATTTTCAGGGAACAAACAGTTGATTAATTTAATCTATTCTGTAGCAGTGGAAGCAAATTAAGCCTCAAAAATTGATCATCACTTTTTAGTGGCACTGCTCTGGACATCAGGGGCAACTTTGGGTTCAGTGTCTCGTCTGAAGACACTTGACATGCGGACTGAGGAGAACGGGAATTGAACAACCAACCTTTCTGTTGGGGTACAAACGCTCGATCTCCCGAGTCACAGCCAACCCACTTATCATTGGGGTCATCAGGGGCAACTTTACAATGACCCAAAAACACTTCTAAGACAAGACGGTCAGCTTCAAATAGTGGATAGACCCCCAGAGTGTCCAGACTTTCCAGATAAAAAGAAAAAAAGAAAGCAACCTACAAGTGCAATACTTTTGTGAGAACTTCTGCAACAGTGCTATCTATCCAAACAAAGTTTGATTTCAATTGTAGAAGGACTTGCATGAAAGAATTACACAAATAACTGGAAAAATGCAGGTATTCTTAGACTCTTGACTGGTAGTATACATGCTGCGGCAGCTGCAAGACTGGAAGTGTTTCTTGTTTTATATTTGGTTTACAGGTAAATATTACCTACTGTTTTTCCAGACACCATGAGCAAACAAAGTTGGAAATATTCTCTGTCAGTAAAGTAAGTTTGTTTGGGAAACAGAATATTGGCAAAGTTCTGAAATTTTACAAAGCTGGAAGCTGACAGTGAGTGAGAGCAGCAGCGTGTTCCTGCTTTGAACGCTTTTGGACCCTCGGGCAACGCAATTGGTTTATAAGAAAAACAGACCACTTTTTGCCTGCATTGCTGTTTGATATCTTCCACATTTGCCAAGCAAAAACCTGGCAAACTCTGGATTTTCAAAGTTAATAATGACAATATTTGAGATTTTAAACAAATGTTATACAGTATGTGCCTATATTTTTAATCTGACATTTTTGAAAATTTGAAATCTCAGTGGGACACTTTACACTTGTTTGTGCTTTCTTGTGGACAAACTACACAGTGTACTGTTGATGCTATTTTTACAGTAATAGATCCAAAAACAAAAATTCAGCAATTCCTTGTTAGTAATTAGCCAGTATATGTGTGGACATATTTGGGATAAACCAATATCAAGTAGTTTAGTAGACTTTACTCCAAATGATGATTGGAATAAATTGAAAAATGGTGCTTTACTTTTAGACTGACTGATACTGTATGTGTGTACTTACCATCTGTTTACACTGGTAGCACATCCAAACTGAAGGGCTCATACATAATGCCTGGCTTTATTTCCCCTGTCCCTGCAGATGCAGTCCTTGTATTGGGGGGGAGCCAGCATAAAAACAGACAGATGTTTTACACACAGTCATACACTTTAACAATAGGTGCAGTTGAACCCATTGTTCCCCCGAGTTGACGTATGTGTTCATTTGTATAATCTACAACATAAACAATTATAGCATCGCACTTAACACAGACTGTTTACATATTAGTTATTCATGCAGGTTGTATATTAATTAGAATACTGCATCTCCTGTCCGTTTCATTAGGGCTGGGCATTTAATGTGGTTCTTTACCAACTGAGGATGCTCATGGCATTACAGCCAGCTCCGAAAAAGAACAGCCTCTCTTCCTATTCCCTTAGAAGGTCACCCGCCAGGGAGACTTTGCTAATAGGTTCCCTGGGCTAAACCCAACCTGGTTTCGACCTCGTTCGCCTCCTAATAGTTGCATACAATATTTTGCAACATAGTTTTGGATTCGTTCGCCTCCTAATAGTTGCATACAATATTCTGCAACATAGTTTTGGATTTTAAAAACTGAGTATTTATATTACAAAATATAAAAGAACATATGAAGCAGAATCGGCAGTAGTTTGGTATCGGCTCTTGTGATGTCTGTGCTCACTTTTCTCACCACTTCACAGGGGTGAGAAAGGATGAATTAAATTGCCTCAGCGAGGGATAGGTCATTACTGTTATATTTTCACAGCTTAAATCTGAAATGGAAATAAGAGGCAATTATAACAGTTTTTAATATCACCATTAATACATAGTGACCCTTTCTTTCACACAGTTTGTGCACTTAGGTTAGAGCAGGTGTGGTGAAAGTCACACAGGCTTTAATGTATTTATTTATTCATTTTTATTCTGTCTGAAAGGGAGACTTGTCTTCGCTTTGACCTCTCTGAGGAATGCAATGTGTTCTCACTTTACCATCTTTTTGTTCCTTTTCCCAGCTGTTTCAAGGTGTTTGAAACAGCTGGGGAAAGCGGGGGGGGGAGGGGGCACTTGTATTAATTTGATTTATTTTGCTGAGACAACAAATCTTGACACTTAACTACAGATTTCATTTGGTTATTGTTACCTCTGGAGAATTTGACTCTAACCAATGTGCATTCTTGCTGGTTTTCCTTATCTAATGTGATTGTAAATTTTCTATCTAAAATATTTAGCAAGAAAATCAGCAGATTAATTGATAATATAAATAAGCAACGGTTGCAGAGATGTTGCAAATTTAGGCACACGGGTCTCATTCTCAAATCTCCATCTTGATGTTTTTTCTGAAATCACAGCATTGTTGCATGTTCACTTTTTCCACCCCTGTTCATTTGTGTGAGAGTGATGCTTGTTGACACATATTTGGACAGAGCAGAGCCTCTTCTATCAGTAGAAGGTGTCCACATGCTCGTGAAGTTATCACTTCCAACAGATCAAAGACTTGGCACATTATTTATGCATTGCTGAAAGGTGGGGTATTCAGTTGAAGTCAGGCAGCAAAGCATAGCTGGCCCTTATTGTGAGGTAATGACCTCCTCTAAATTAAGTGCTCCCAGTCAAATGCAGAGGCTCTGCTTTGTGTTCTTTTGCTTTGGTCTGTGTAAAAAGCCACAGTATGTGGCACAAGTCTCTGGAAAAATATACATAAATAGTGCTGCATATTCTCAAAAAAATGCCTCAGCTATTTTCTTAGGGTAGAGTCAGGCCGTATTTTACGGCTGCTCACACAGAAAATCTTAAAAATAATGGCCATGTTCCCACCAAATTGTTTAGGAGGAATGGACATTTGTAAAGTGTTATAGCCAAAACCTTAATCACACGTATAGACACTTATGTTGTGTTGATTTGAAAGGATTTCAGACAAAATGAATAGTGGCCCAAATACCCAGGTCTTGGTGGTTATGGCCCCCCCACACTGCAGTGATCTTCAGAAAAACTGTTTCATAGAGGCTACACTGTGGTTGGCCTTAGGCTTTCAATATCAGCTGGGGGATGCATAAATCATGTGCTTCTATTTATTGACAATCTTCCCTCTTATGTTATAGACCCTTCATGTCGATTTTGACCTGTGTTGTGCAGCAGTGGTCGTACTTACAGTTTTGTTTATCTCAGGGGTTTGAACTCATAATGAAGCAGCATTAAAGGATCTGTGCCATTTTAAACAAATGTTTCCGATGATCAGTGGAAGCAGATTTCTGCAGCTTGCTCACTGAGGACTATTTTCACTCAAAGGTCATCCAGGATAAGTGGGGAGGAGGAGGTACACCTCGTCACTTTCTGAAGGACTAAGTGTTCTGCTCTGAAATAGACCACTGGGATACTCGAATGACTCAAAAGGCTATATCAGCGAGCACTTGTGGTTGACGTTATTTATTTATTAATTTGAGGCCTGTCTACTGACACATCTGAGTGGTCTAATTGCAGCGAATTGACACCGGTTACTGTCCATAATGGGAGCTTGGGAGTCCTTCCTAACCGCAGTTCATTCAGCCGCCCCTCACTGCAACTTAACTGCCCTTAAAATGTCTGATTGCAACATGGGAGCTGTGGGGCGAGACAGGATTATCAGTCTTTGTTGTGTGACTGTGTCTATTATCCTGACCTCTATTCACAGCGGGCCCTTAGGAGTGTCGCTTCCAGCCACACAGCAAACTACCCCATCCCCGACAAACACCAAGCGAACCTGAGCTCTCCCCCTGTCCCAATGCACTAGACACTTACAGCTCCAGCACTGGGCAAAGCACTCTGCTGCAGGTAAGGCTATCAAACCCCTATTGATTTAATAAAGATAAATTGGAGGCACTTCCTTTCAATGTTATTGCAGCACATGCGATTGATTGTTGGCGTTGACTGGTGATATTGTCACCAAGTTGGGCAACTACCGTTAGTTTCGGAAGTTCATGACAAGTGAAAAGCTGCGTGCAGGGTTTTTAATAGGGTGATAAAACGCAGCCGGGGTGTTTGGGCTGCTCTTACAACTGTGAAAGCTGTGTGGATGTGCGTGCATGTGGTTTTGATGGAGGGATGGGCGCCTTGACAGAATGTTTCTTGCTACAAAAACTAGCATGTGTCATTTATTTCATATCCTGAGCTGCACTGTGTTTTCTGGTGTTTTGTTGTATTATAACATTCTTTATAATCTATTTTTAAAAAAAGTGACACCAGAAGTTCATGAATTAGTTGTTTCCTTGGGAAAACATGAAGCATTTTTAGAGCAAAAGGTGAAATTTTATGTAGTTATTTTAGTGATCTAATTATGATGGTACTTGTAAAATAATTCCCCCCTAAAGAAAAGCACATTTAGGGGCACACATTTGAGATGAATAATTAGGCAAATAATTTCACACATTTAATTTCACATGTGAGGATAGGGTGACAGTGACAATGCTGATATGTTACTTGTTTAACAGGAAGTTTATTTTACATACAATTAAATTAAATTAAATTTGTCACATGTGTGGGACTTAATAGTTGGAGCATTTTTGTGTGGTCACCTTTTTAGTAATATTTGAATGCAGTGATATTCCTGGAAGAAAATGCTGCCATGGAGACAACAGTTAAAAGCTTTTTCTCTTTGTGCCACTGACAAAACAGTGAGAATAGTGATGAACAATGCCAGAGGACACAAGTAAAGATCTTCTTCCCAGGTGTAATAATCTTTGAATACAACACACACACACACACACACACAGTATGGCCTGCTGTAATCATACAGATGACAAGGTGGCAATGTTTTGAGGGCATCTGTGGCATATTTTCAATGTTAAATTTGACCTAAAACCTAAATACGCACATGATGAATAAAGGATGAAGAAAGACAATAGGTCTTTTTTCCTCCTCATTCTCTTAGTATTCACATAGTCGATTGAAATGTTTATGCTGCCATGGCAGACAAAAAGAGGAAAGGGCGTTAAAGTTAACATCATCATTCATTAAGCCTTTATACAACCAAATATGGAAGTGCTTTGCTTTTCCCTGAGCCTTTCTTTCAGGTAAAACACTGCAAGGATGTTCTTCTCCATCTGTCTTGAGAACTTCCAACCGCAGCAAGTGTGAATTAAATTTATTTCCATGTGCCCTGATTTACCGCAAATTGCTTAATGGTTTGAAACTCACTGCAGACGGCACCATTAGAGACTTGTACAAAGATAATTTCCAGTGTGGGCCATTAGAGATGTTTTGTGCTTGATGCAGTTTTTTTTTTATTTTTGCTGAAGAGTACTGAAATGGGGTCATCCTGCAAAAACTGTCTGCTGGACATGAGTGGAAAAGAAAGTATACACCCATTTAAAACAGAGTACTAATTACAAAAATCACAGATTTTAGAATCCCAAACCCATTTTAAGATAAAGACCAAATAAATAGACCAATCAGGGGCCTCTGGAGGGCAGATTCCTACTGAACCTCATAGATGGAGTGCAATTAGACACAGTTTCAGACAATTGTTTGTACCAAAGTGGCAATGATATGGCACCCACTGATTTCAGGAAATAACCCTTAAAACTCATGTGGTAAATTGTTATTGCTAAAGATATCTCAGACTTGTCCTACTGTCAAACGAAGCTAGCCCACAGACTGTGGGGCCTCACTTAACCTCCCTCAGCCCACTACATCAGATGGGGATGATTGCAGCCTTGAAATCAATGAAACCGCAAACCTTACTGATAATATCCTCTCTTGGGGTGCTGTGGCACATACAGTCAGGGCCCTGCTTGTCCTTCCACAGGAGTCTGTACTGGTGATGTTTGTGAGTTCAGTTAGGGAACTGTTCCTACCGATTTGATACCCAAATCTCCATGTTTACCAAAACTTTAGGAACATATGAGTGATGTTGGATGGGTTTATCAATATTTTATTGATATAACAGTTTATACTGTAGACCAGTCTTAATTTACCGTAAGTCAGTAGATTTCACTGTTTGTACCTTTTTATTCTTTAGTGCTGACAGGAAACGTTCAGTAACACTTGTACATGATGACACTTTAGTTCTTTGGATTTGTGAGATCATGCCCCCTGGAGAAACATCCACAAATCTCTAAATGGACTGATTTGACAATATGAAAGACTTTCAAGCCCTTAGATCAATCATTGCTTTCCAGTGCATTATTCCCCAAACAATAAAAGGACAATATCAGATTAATATATAGTCTTGGCTGGGATTTATCCTTGTGGGGCGGGCAACATCTCCTTGTCTGAAGTCCCCGAGCAGTAAGAAGGATTTGGTTGACGGAGCACAGTGGGCCCAGAGCCATCTCTGCATTTGAGGTCACAAGTGGATAGCAAAGTTATCTAAAGCCCCGAGATTTCCCCCTCACCATCCCAGAGTGAGTGTCAGAGATTAGTGGGGCATCCGTCCTCTGTGACCTGTAGAAGCTAAGGAGATACTGCTTTGCCATCTTGTGACATGTCAAACAATGCAAGGGCAGGACTGTCATTTCAATGCCATGCTATGCCACTGAGTGGCTCCTTTGTTAAATGCTTTAGAACGGTGGCCCTGCATGTAATTTCAGTCAGTAAGCACTATCTTGGGCACCTTCCCCCATCCTCTGCACCGGCTTTTAGAGACCACAAGGTCGTTCTGCAGAGGTATGTACTGTAAAGACATCTCTAAGTGCAGGGCTGCACTACAGTAATGCGACAAACCTTTAAAGTTCTCAGACATCTTGGGAGAGCTCAAGAAAATCTAAGGAAACCGTTTCTGACACTGCAGTCCTTTAAGATATTGTGAAATTTTCTGTTTTGATTCACTGATTTGGTGATCTTTCCTTCTACAGTACATCTCAATTTTCTGTCACACCATATCCCGTTAAAGGTGTAAGTTCACCTTTCAATTTGCCTTTCTTATGATTTTTACCAAACTTTATGCCATATCTTGCAAAAAGAAGCCAGTTACATGCCTCTTACTATTGTTTACCCATTTAATCTGCTAGTTACTCTTAACATAAATGTCAATTTTAATTGCAGAGAACATGGCTGTCATGTAAAAGTCATTCATTTAGATCTTGCATTTGTAAAACTGGCTATTTTTTAAATGTCCATAGTCGAGCGATTAATTGATGGACCTTCACACATGATTAATCATTTGTTATTAAATATTCAGACCTGAGATTTCAGAATTTCTTTGACTTTGACAAACTGTTGGTGGAAGTAGGCAAAGCTAAGAGAAATGGTGTCAAAATGTCAAATCATCTCTAAGAACATCAACAAAATGGGCAAGAACAGGCTTAACAATTAATCAGGTGTAACATTGGGAGTGTGGTGTTTTAGTATATCACTAGCGTGGTGTAGAACAAAATCATCCATGTAGTAATACTGCTTGCAAACCAATGATGATAAGATGATGTTATGGGGTAGGACTAGATAAGTCTAACTTCTTCCTACTCCGTTCAAGCATGTACTAGGTATAAGCAAATTGAAAATATATTTGTGGATATGTGTGGAATTATGTGTGTTGACATATTGACTGTTGTTACATGTTTGAAAGAATAAATCAAATCAAATCAAATCAAAATGTCTGCATTGACTCTCATTAAGGCCTCAGTATCCCCTGGTCCAAAGCACAGAACACAGTACCACCAGGAAACTGGCGTAGAAACATCACTCGGATATCTGCTATTCCATTTCTTCTCCTAGTATTAGCATTGTGTGGTGTATAAATTGTTCCCCTAAGGAAGTGTACTTATACAAAACACAGTAGAGTTCATTTGCCGTGTTAGATGTGAACGCTTTAGGTCAAAGCAGAAGGCAGACTTCAAAACATTGAATGAAAAGACCTGCTGAGATTTACTGAGATAGGTATTGGCATAGTTGAAGCATTACAGCATATCAGGACAGCAAGTAATTCATTCTGAAAACCACCCATGATAGGAAAATACTCACCGGTGAGACACTTTCACTGATAAATATAAAATCACTGTAACAAGAAATGTAGAGCAGCAGAAATTCACCTGTTTTCTGAATAAATCCTTCCATTTGTCTCCACTCAAATTATTAACAATGACAGTAAAAATACACTGTTAGCTTCTGTTACTATGTTATTGCTTTATTATTTTGTGTATAATATGACTAATGTGTAATCCTGCATAATTAACGCTTTGTCCAGTACAAATGTAGCCCAGAGTAAAACTAATCTGCCCATCTCAGTAAGGACGTGCAGAGCCTACTGAAGGGGCAAGTGCTTCAGTTAAAACCGGGAAATCTCCTCATCTCCAGCATTTTTGGGGGGTTTCCATATTTTAAACAACAGTGAACATTTGTACACATGGATACTTTTATTCTACATATGTATCTGATTAGCTGTTCTTACTCAATATCTAGATCTAGATCAGAATAATGAAATGAATGGTTCTCTTCCAAAATGTCTGTATAGTGTTTGGCAAAACGAGAAAAAGATAATTCATTACCTCGGGTCAGCTCATGCAATGGGTTGCAATTCCCTTTAGAAAGTAATCTACTGTACTTATCTATTTTTCTTTTTAGAGCAGTGCTATCCCTGAAGGAGATGGCCACACAGTTCCTGCTTTCGAGTGTGTGGAAAGCAAAAATAATAATTTGGCAGGAAGGAATAAATGGTGCTTAATGCTATGCTATAAAATTCACCTGGCTAATAGTGTGTGAGACAGCCCCTCAGGTTATCAATGATTATAAAGTAATGATTTTACAACCTGCAATTACACTGGGATTTGAATTTTTTTTAGTGAGCACGAGAAGGATTTGAGGGTCATTGTCCATTCTGTGCCAGTGTCTTCAAGGAA